TTTTCCAGGTGGAAAAGTTGGATTCCTGTACTAAGTAGTTAACAGGTATTAATATTATTTTAGTACATCAATTATTGATCTTATGGGAATGAGGGGATTATGAAGCAATTTTCTAATTTGCATGAAGCTAAGCCCACTACAAAAGAAAAATGGTTCTTATTTAATTACAGGTATTCTGTTCGGCAAAGAAAAGTCTTTTGAAAGAGGCTTTTCTGAAGTTTGGCTCATCTACATGGTGCCAAATTTTGGGAGAACCTCTACTTTTGGCACATCCCTTTTTCCTCATAGAATGAGGATTATAGGGATGGTGAAAGAACGTGTCTGCTTTTTTGGAAATTGTTCCAAAAAAGCAGACACATTCCTTGGACACAGCAACGCCTTTCCGGAGGTATCCCAGAAAAGTTCTGCAGTCTAGACATAGCCATTTATGTAGGCTTCTAAACTTTTTGTTAATATTATTTTGATATAGTACCATAGGTATGTATGCTGCTTTACAGAATAAAGATCAGTCCTTGCCCCACCAGTTTTACTTTTTCTGGATATAATTCTACGACAGTCTGTATCCCCATATTAATCCTTTGCACAGTATTGTCATGATCATTTGAAAAATCATAATTTGCTTATGAAACAGGAAGGGAGGAAAAAAGGAACCTCAAATAGGCAAAGAAAAGGCAACAAGAAACATCTTTCCCGATAGACTTTTTGTCTCCTGGTATCCCGCTGGGAATGTTTTTCAAGTGGTGTACTGATGCAGTAAATAAGACGGACAAACACTTGAAGTAACACTTAACTTTCTACCTCCCTATCACATTAATGGCACCTGAAATGACAAAGGAAGTATCTGTTCGATTCTGGGAAAAGGGATTCTGACCAAAGAAATTTGATCAGTTAGACTTCTAAAAGCATCTGGTGAGAGAGCTGTGCTTTGAATTAAACATAATTTGTTAGGCACCAGTTGCATTTTATGTATATTTTTCCTGTAACCATTTTTGATCTTTATGCCTCCTTGCTTTTACTCACTTAAAATCTCTGTTTATTGTTAATAAGTTGGTTTTACTGTTTTATTTAATCAATATATTTAAATTGAAATGTTTGGGAATGCTGTTCAGCATAGCAAGTTGTATTCATATTATTTCCATTAAAGAAATAATGGACCTTACATAAATTTGCAGTGTCAAGGAGAGGCCTTATACAGTGGAAGACACCTATTTCTGGGGGCAAATTTAAGTCTGGGAGGGTATTGGAGTCACTGTGAAGTATAACCAAGGCTGGTAAGAGCCAGAGGGTGCCTGGTGTGTCTGGCATGCTGCAGTTATGCGCAAACAGTCAAGGTTTAGCTTACATGCTAGATGATTGTTTGTGACTAGCCCAAGTTGGGATTCCTTCAGCAAGGCATCATAAGGCACCCAAAATTGCAGAACAATGGTGGCATGGTTGCTCATTAACTTAGATTGTACCTGGGAATGTCACAAATACATATGGAACGGGAGAAGGCAATAATCTTTGATGGTTATTAGAATAAGCTATATGGCGTCTCAGAGGTAAGAATGGTAAAAAGAATGAGAGATAATTATTTTGCATAAATGTCCTATTTACTTTTTTCTTAATGTTAAGAGACGCAAAATAAGAATTGCAAATCAAGTGATAGTCCCCTAGGGGTTTTGAAGGTTGAGTTTGAGATAAAAGGAAACCCACTGTCTCTCCTGCTCTCTTTTTAAGAGTGCATCTTAAACTGCACTAGATAAACATGCTATATCATATGTTAACACATTAACCATTATCAAAATGAAAACCTCATATTCTGGGATGCTAGACAAAATAGTGTACTTTAAAGGCTGAAAAAATGTTTCTGAAAACACTTAAAAAATGGACATGTATGTAGACATGCAGATATCTTTTTCTTAAAACTGCAGCAACTTAATCTTGGCTCGAAACAATGCGAAGTCAAATTAATTCTATCAACATAATCTATAAATAGTGGTGTAAAGTGATGATGAGTAATTAGATGATTAAAAACATATGTCGGAATACTTTTAGCATGATTATACTATAAAAGTACATTGGTCTTCCATTAGATATACAGAACCTTTTGACACAAGCTGTCTAGTATAGGCAATCTATTAACAGAAGGAATATATTAACCCCACATTGGCCATTCATAATCATAGAATGAGTTTAAAAATTGCTAAAAGATTTTATAAGGCTTTGCCATATAGAAAATACAATATAATGGGGACAGAATGTGAAATAAAGGGCAGAAACTACTGAAATAATGCATGAAAGTGCCAGTCTGTCCAGATAGAGAATGTGTAATACAAAGTAATAAGCAATTTGAGACATACTTAGTGAGGGAGTGACACACCAAGAGAATGCGTCTTTGAGGGTATGTCTACACTAGAGAATTTTGTCGGAAAAACGGCTATTTTTTCTGACACAACCTGAGTTACATCCACCCTGCAATGGTATTCTTCCAAAAGTAAATCGAAAGAACAGAGGGGGTTTTTCTGGCTTTGCTAATCCTCTTTCTACGAGGAAGAAGCCTTTTCCTGAAAGAGCTCTTTCAGAAAAAGGCATGTGTAGATGGGGAAGAGGGAGTTCTTTTGAAAGAAGAGGAATGAGGAAAAAGCACAGGTGCCCTGGTGGCCAGTCTGTCCATAGTAATCACAGCTTAAATACGAGAGAGCATCCATTCGGTGTGCATGCTATCTTTCAAAAAAATCAGATTGCTTTTTCAATGCACTTTTGTGAGTGGACGCTCACTTTCAGGAGAAGTTTTTTCAGAAGATCTCTTCTGAAAAAAGGTTCTTCTGAAAGAAGCCTGCAGTCTAGACATAGCATGAGAAAAAGGCACACTAATAGAGGGGAAAACAGCAATACAGTGTAATACAAATATTTTGTAAATATTGGTAATTTTTGTTAGCCAAGAAAATATTCAGTAACAGCTGTGAACATCTTTAAGATTCTAGGCAACGGCTTTCCAATGATGTCATATCCTTGCCAGGAAATGAGTTCTTAATTACTAATGTTAATGATAATATGTGAAAACTTGACTTTCCTGAACCTTAATGCATAGGGAATTGATCTGAAAAATCTTTCCTATGTGGAAATGTGCTTGTTGTGACCTTTGTCAAGTGGTCTTTAGAGCTGAAGAAGTGGAAAACTTATTGCTATGCAAGGTTAACATTGATTGTAAACATGCCTGAAAAGCATTACATTTATTGGAACAGCATGATTAACATATCGAACAATTAGAATAAGGTTATACTTATCTAATGGCCACTCCAGACATGTGGTCTCAGTTGGCTAGAGTAAGACATCTGGAGTTATAGATTGACTATCACTACCATGGACGTTCAAGTTAAAAGACTTTTACACACTGCACAATTGAACAATATTCCAGGGTTCTCTAGAAGTGAAGATGAACACATTTTGTGTTAGTATAGTTCCTAGATCTCTGAACAATATATATTAATATAAAAGCAAAGGATTTTTTTGAGACATTCAGGTTTTGGTTACAGATTTGCCATTGGATCATTTTATTTTGCATCTTAACTCAGGTATTATTCACTACCAGAGGAATCAGGAAAAAAAGATTTAAAAACTTCACAATACACTTTGTCTTTTATATGGTTTAGTTGTGAAGGTGAAGGTAAACTTTTTTCTGTAGCAGAATATTTCATCATGCTCCTAATCTCAATTTTCACAGCTATGGAAATTACCTAAAATTATCCAGTAAGGGAACAATGAGTCCCATTATTAATAGTAGAACAACTTTTTCTATTTAAGATGTCGTTTTTCAGGGTGTCATTTGACACACTTCTCTTGCAGCTGCAGTTGAGAGATTTCTAAATCCTATGATTTATAGGCTCAAAAGACTCAATCTTGTGCCTATATTGTTTTTAGTCCACATATTCTGATTTCTAATATGTTTTATTGGTTACTATTTAATGATAGGATAAAGAATTTTTGTTGAATATAATCAAAGGAAGGCAAAGTCTGACTTTCTGTAATCTTTCATGGATCTGTTAGCATTTTATTGTCACATGGCATTATATTTTATGTGGGATTATTGAAGAAGTTGGAGACATCTTTGAAACAAATCTTTAAAATTGTTCTGTGACACATCATGCCATTTAATGTATCAGAAAACTGAAAAGGGTATCTTTAGAGGAAAAGGTATTAAGAAATCAAATATCCTTGTTGTTTGTTTCTACTTATGTGGGGTAGTCTCTACTATAAATGTCTTGTGTTGTAAATCAGAATAGCTGATTTGAAGAAATGGGTTGTGCCCACGAAAAGTCAAAAACAGATCACACCTATTACTTCTCCAGTGTCCCTTTAATAACAGTTTTCATTTCACAATGTCCAAAATCTGTCATATATGTTTATTAATAAAATAGCTGAAAACTGAACTTCTTACTCATAAATTCATATAAATTATGCTTGAATCTTAAAAAAAAATGCTTTAATAAAATAAAGGGTAGCCATATTAGTGTGTAACTGAACAAATGATCTTGCAGCATCTTAGGGTATGTCTACACTACCCCGCTAGTTCGAACTAGCGGGGTAGTGTAGACATACCCTAAGATGCTGCAAGATCATTTGTTCAGTTACACACTAATATGGCTACCCTTTATTTTATTAAAGCATTTTTTTTTAAGATTCAAGCATAATTTATATGAATTTATGAGTAAGAAGTTCAGTTTTCAGCTATTTTATTAATAAACATATATGACAGATTTTGGACATTGTGAAATGAAAACTGTTATTAAAGGGACACTGGAGAAGTAATAGGTGTGATCTGTTTTGGTCAGTATTACCGTATTTACATGCTCACTCAGGGTAAAATTATTATTGAATTCTTAGTTTATAATTACATAAATTATTATTAGTATTCTTAGTTTATGATTATTATGAAAGTCTTAGCTTATAAATTCTTGTAGTAATTTGGGAGAAAATGTTTTAGGGGAATGATGTTTTTGATTTCTATTTTCCCGCAGTTATTCGAACTGTTAGGCCCTGAGGGATTTGAACTCATAGAGAAACTACTACAGAATAGGTCTATGATTGTGGAGAGATCTCTGTCATGGCCAAATGATTACAAGCTGCAGTCTCTACAAGGTAAGAAACTGTTGACCATTTTTCAAAACTGATAGAAGCCAGAGTTTTTTAATAACTATCTGATTAGACAAATCCATAAAAATTTTCTTCATCCCATTAAAAAGTTGTTACTAGTGTGTGTGTGTGTGTGTGTGTACACACACACACACACACACACACACACACACACACACACACACTGAAGAAGGGTACATGATTTGCTTGCCTCTGTCTGATTTTTTTTTTTAAATGTGCTCCCAGATGCTCATTTTTTTTTTTGTCATGGATGTTGTGATGTTCCTTCTTCACCATACTGTCATGCAGAGTTAATGTTTGGTTATTCTTCATGTAGCTGGTTTGCTTTCACTGCATGCTGCTATTCTTGAAATCACAAGAGAAGAGTACCTTAGCATTATAGCCACATTTCAAAAGCATGAGGTGTGAAAGAAAGGTCAAGGTGGCACACAGGGATTTGTTTTTATAAAGTAAACTGCCTTGCATTATAATTAATTTTAAATTCGTGTTACAAACTCAGAAAAATAAAAAAGTAAAGGAAAATGTCTGAGCACTCAGGAAAGACAATACTAGGCTATGACACTGACTTCACCCAACACATCGTGGCATAATTATATTAGAACTGACATTGAAACAGACTGAGTCAGCTGACTCCTCTAGAAGTTCCCCAACTGTATGGAAGGTCCAACTCACCACTTTCCTTACCTTCCTTCTTCAAAACCCATCTCAATTGCAATGAATAGAGAAAATTGCCATCTGGTAAAGCCTAAGCAGGTGACACATTTTGTTTGCTGCTACTAATTGGTTAAGAGAACTGTGCATACTGCTATGCTGTACTAAAACATTTCAGGCTCCATCTACACCACATCATTTTTGTGGAAGAGGAAATGCAAATGAAGTGCTTATTAGCATTTCTCATGCTCTCATTTGCATATTTTCTTTGAATCCTTTTTTCATTTTTTGATAAATAAGAGTTCTTGTGAAAGGTTTTTTTTTTTTTTTTTGCGCAAAATAGCCCTGTCTACACTGCGTTTTTTTCCGCAAAAACCTCTTCCGCAAAAAGGATTGGAAGAGAATATGCAAATGAGAGCACAAGAAATGCTAATGAGTACTTCATTTGCATTCCTCATCTGTAAAAATGATGGCGTGCAGACGGAGCCTTATTGTTTTTCTTACTGTTTCCCCCTTCTTTCTACTTGCTTGTTAATCCCATGTTATATCATATCTTTTTTTAAAAAAAATTTGAAACTGTATGGAATAGAAACATTCATATAAACTTGGGAGTAGGAAAAGATATTTCAGTTGAAAAAAAAATAGCGTGAGCTGCCAAGCAAACTCTCTTTCCCCCAAGACCCTACAGGCATTATGAACGACACAAACAATGGAGACACACAACCTACATGCAGCAGCAGCTAATGGTTAGATTGATGAGAGAGAAGCTTCTCATGCCTGGGCTGCTTGCGCCCTGTCTATATCAGTTCACTTGTAACTGGATCAGGAACAGCAAAAGCAGGCAGTACTTGTTTGACTGTACTGCAGATTATATTAAAAAAAGTGTGCTCAAACTGTCCATCCAGAGATCCCTGTATGCCAGGAGCTGCCAAGGAATTTAAGCTGTTTGAAGAATGGGGAAATCCATGAATAGGATCATCAAAATTAACTTGTCCAGCAATAAATTCCTTCTCTTCGGTTTTTTAAATCTCAAATAGAAAGTTGCTATCCTGTAAAACTTAGGGCTGACATGAGTAGCATGAGTAGATAGCAGAGTGCTGGAAGTGTGTGTGTGTGTGTGTGTGTGTGTGGTGTTTTTTATGTGGATTTATGTCACAATGTATTCCAGCCTTCTGTAACCCATGTAGACTCAGATGGTCAGGGATATTTTTCCTCGATGTTCAGTCTTTAGGTTGCTAGACAGATTGGAGCCTGACCATGTAGTAAATGATTGTGCGCAATTAATTTATTTCCTACTACATTAGCTGCAAATGCAAAAGTAGGGTTTTTTTGGCAGTAAGGTAGGAAATACATAGTAAGCATATACAGTCTGCGGCAACCAGCCTTTCAGTCTGGACTGACTGATGTGGGTTTGTGGGGCTTGCCCTGCACTAAAATAGCTTTATAGATGTGACAGCTTGGGCTGGAGCTTAGGCTTTGATGTTGAGGGAAGGGAATGGACTTCTGAGCCCAAGATCGAGTATGAACCTTAACTTCAATATCCTGTCTATACAGGTATTTTTAGCATGGTCATGCAAACCTTAGGAATCTGATCTTGGGATGGGAATTTCATTGCTGGAAGATATGTGTTTAAAAATACTCCTGTGGGTATCTGCAGACTAAACTTCTAGATCTTCCCAGAGAAAAGCGCAATAGTAGGTGGAACATGTGTGAGTGGCTTTTTATGGTTGATCTACACTTCCAATGTTAAATTAAATAACACAATTTTTAACATTTTTGGTGTAGCGAGCTACTCTGGATAAATATGGCATACCAGTTGTGTCTGGAAACCATTTTTTTTGTCTGCAGTATACATTAGAATTCCTTTGTTTGACATGGAAACATGTCTGTGTGTAATATGAATACAGTGTAGAGCAATGGAACATTACAGTGAACATAACTGTTGTAGGTTTTGCAAACCAGTTACCTCTCCACTTCCCTAGTTGAGTTGTGTAAATGAAAGCATATTTTCCTAATAATAGCCTTTAAATTATATTCTCTCTGGAGCAAAACTTTCTATGCATTTTTAAAGGAATTCAGTACATTTGAAATCTAATTAAGACTAACCAATTTTAGGCATTAGTAAAGTAGCACTTGTGCTAAATTTTGGAAAAAATAACCTATTAAAATTATTTAGAAAAATAAGACAGTCTTCAGTGTTCACAGAGAGCCATGTCTGTTTCTATGCTTCAGAACAGTGCAAAAAGTTTGCGGGTGACAACACTAAACCCAATTATGGTTGTCAAGTCACAATTCAGTCTGAACAAGAAAAGCTGTTAATGAAACAATATCGTCGGGAAGAAAAACGAATTGCCAGACGAGAAAAACGATCTGGGGAAGAAGGAGACATTTTTGGAGAAGGACTAATGTGTTTTGATCCCAAGGAGCTGCGGATACAAAGGTAATAAACGCCAAAAGTTGAAAAATGCTTGTGCTGTAATTGCTACTTTAATGTATCATAATCATTTATATTCTTTTAGTTCACCTTTGGTGATTATATGATTCTGACTTCAAGTCACGTTTTATTACAAGTGTCGAATTTTTTTATATAAAAACCTAATTTTCTGGGATAAGAAAGCAGTCATCTGCTTAATTAGAATTTTCTTGGTCTCTTCCACATGGTTTAGAGATGTAGATTAGGGAGGTAAGCCATATTCCTTGAGTGCAGTGTAAGATTTATATACTAAATATGTCAACACCTTCATTAATGGGTATTGTTCTCCATGTTCTCTAAAAGTAGGAAGGGCAAGAGGAAGAACAAGTAAACAAGGCTTGGATTTGGTATTGAGGAAAACATAGCAGTTTAAATTTTTAAATATGGAGAGCTATAAATTATGATACACATTATATACCTGAGAGTGAGGAGAACAAGAACTACATCTATGAGAACATATTAATACTACAATATTAACATGTTGAATTTGTTTTTGTTGTGTTTTGGCAAGGCAGGCCTATGATTGACAGAATTATTTCAGTTACTTTTCTGCTTACAGAGAACAAGCTCTTCTGAATGCTCGAAGTGTGCCAGTCCTAGGCAGACAGAGAGAGATGGACTTTGAAAAAATTCATTATCCACATGTTTATGATTCCCAGGCTGAAGCTATGAAAACATCAGCATTCATTGGGGGTGCTAAGGTATACCTTTGGTGTATGACCTTTTCTGCACAATGGATCTATCCTAGTAAATAATATGCAGCTGAGTTTCTTTTGTTCCCTCAGAGGTTTTAACTACTAACTGAAGCACTATACTAATTTTGCTTCTGCAGATTATTATTTTCAAATATTTTATTTTACATAGACATTTCTCCCTATTGATGGGTTGGTTTTCACTTCCATGGAGACTTAAGTTTTTTTTTTTCTTCCTTGGTTGTTTTTCAGATGTTGTTGAGTTGAGTCTAACAATGTACACTTCTCGAAAATCTTGGCTTAATAATTCTCTCCTTAAATTGAATTAGATTATCATTTTTAATAGAAAACAAGTATTGTCTAATTCCTCTCTGTATTATGAACCAACCTCTTGATAGTAAAATCACTGTTTTCTCCTCCCAGATTTTTTATTTTTGGTGCCACCTGTACTGTTATAAATGGATTAATGTAACTTCATGTTTAGTCACATTAGTTGCTAACTGTTTATGTGAGGACGAGATAAATCATTGGTCACTCAGTTCATTTTATCAGGCATATTTTAATGCCATTTTTTTCTTCCAGTAATTTCTTTCCCAAATGTTTGCAGATGCTATTACCAGAGGCAATCCAGAGAGAAAACAACAAAATGTATGAAGAAGTAAAGATCCCTCATAGTGAACCAATGCCTATTGGTATTGAGGAAAAAATTGTGTATATCAAAGACTTAGATGAGGTGAGTAAAATACTTGAAAAGGTAATTTAAATAATAGTTTTCTAACTTATTTTTTTATAATTAGTTGTTTGAAGATAGATTACTATTGCATTTTGCAATGTTTTAAATGTTTATTTAAAAAGCTATATTTAAATGCTAATATTGTGCAGGATACTACTCAAGCAGGAATTTGGAAATCTCATTCCATGCTAAAAACTGACTGAGTCAGGGGGCTAAAGTACAATATAGTTGTTTACTGACTCATTTAAGATGTGGCTGTCATCTGTAGCATCAGTGGGATTGAAGTTCTGTTGAAATGTCCACTCACAGTCCTATGAGTCTGTGGGCAAATCACTTAGCCTCTTTTTGCATCATGATCCATATTAGTAGAAAAATATTTAATTGAGTCACAAGGGTGTTATGAGATGTTACTCAAAGCCTGGAAAACTGCTGTGAAATCTGAAGGAAGATAGTGCCCTTGCAGAGAAGCTAAATGAATTCTTTGCATCAGAGTTCACTGCAGAGAATGTGAGAGAGTTGCACACCTGAGACATTCTTTTTAGGGTGACTAATCTGAGGAGCTGTCCCAGACAGGTATCAATAGGGGGAGGTTTTGGAACAAGTCGATACCTCTGTCTGGAATAATAGGTCACTAGGACTGAATTGTATTCGTCCAAGAGTTCAGAATGAGTTCAGATACCAAATTCCAGAATTACTGAATGTAATATGTAACCTGTCACTTAAATCAGCTTCTGTACCAGGTGACAGGAGGATTGGGGTGGGGGTGGTGGAAGGAACAGATCCACTGTTACTGGTGTATCTACTAGAAATCACCAACTGATGCCTAGGGGGCCTTTGAAAATTGCTAATATTTATTCATATTTTTAAAATACATGTTAGTGAGTTAGAATGATCAAAATGTCCAGTCTCTGTAAATACATTTTTACTACTGTGTCCAGAGCTTGACATGTTTAGCAAACTGTATGGTAGATTTATTTTTCTCATAGAACTTGGAAGCAGATCAGACCTCTTACCCATAGGCCAGGTCTACACTAGAGGGCAAAGTAGAATTAAGGTATGCGATTCCAGTTACATGGATAGCGTAGCTGGAGTCGACATACTTCAGCTGAAATTTCCACGGTGTCCCCACTGTGGGGCATTCACAGGAGGAACTCTCCCATTGACTTCCCTTACTATTTGCCACCTGGTGGAATACTAGAGTCAATGGTAGCATGATCAGTGGTCAATTTAGTGAACACTTACTAGACCCTCTAATTCTACCCCCAGAAGATCAATCTTTGTAGTGTTGATCTCCCAGTAAGTGGAGACAAGGCATTAGTTTGATTTAGGTTCATCTTGGAAATATTACCTGGATCCAGACAACAGGATTCAGTTTACTGTTAGTAGTTAGTCCCTTTTTTCACTTTAAAAAAATCTTTCTACTGAATGGCGCCAGGGCCTACTTGGCTCCCCTCAGCTTTGGGAGAGAATCAGCAGCAGCAAGAGAAAAGGCCCAATGAGTGCAATTCTGCAGCTCACATCCTGTGCCAAGCCATTATTTCTAGAAGAGAGAGAGAGAGAGCACATGTGAAGGTGGGGAGACTCACATTTTCTGCAATGCAGACTGATCTTGTAGTTGACCTGTGACCAAGGCTCACCTAGAGTTGCATGAGGTATTAGCAGGAAACTCCATTCCTCACGAAGCAGTGCCTTTTACCTGCAGACAGGTATGCAGAGGGCAGAGTGAAGCAAGGAAAGATAAGTGCGCTCAGTTGTAACATAAAGTTAGACCAGATCTAGTGATATTGCAGGCAGCTTCTCAGAGCCCGTTCATCACACTTCAACTTTCGAGGCTAGGGAGGAAGTGCACTACCTGTGGAAGTACTAATATGTGCATCTATATACCAGAGGATTTCCAGCCTGCCCATACTTACTTCTGGCAGTGACCCTGCAGAAAGAGTTCATTTAAACCTTTTGCCAACTGACAGCTAACCAGGAAATTACAAACCAGTCAGCATAACTTCTGTGCCACGGAAGATAATGGAGCAAATAATTAAGGAATTCATCTGCAAACATTTGGAAGATAATAAGGTGATGGGTAACAGCCAGCATGCATTTCTAAAGAACAAATAATGTCAAACTAATCTGATAGCTTTCTTTAATAGGATAACAAGTCTTGAAAATAAGGGAGAAGCTGTGGATGTGGTATACCTACACTTTTTAGTAAAGCATTTGATATGGTCTTGCATGATCTTCTTATCAATAAACTAGGGAAATACAACCTAAATGGTGCTACTATAAGGTGGGCGCACAACTGGCTGGATAACCATTCTCAAAGAGAAGTTATTAATGGTTCACAATCATGCTGGAAGAGCATAACAAGTGGGGTTCTTCAGGTGTCTGGTTTTGAGACTGGTTCAGCTCTGTATCTTGCTCAGTAATTTAGATATTGGCATAGAGAGCATGCTACGAAGCTTGAAGATGGTATCAAGTTGGGAGGGGTTGCAAATGCTTTGGAGAATACAGTCATAATTCAAAACCATCTGGACAAACTGGAGAAATGGTCTGAGGAAAATAGGATGAAGTTTTAATAAGGACAAATGCAAAGTTTTCCACTTAGGAAGAAGCAATCAGTGTCACACATACAGAATGGGAAGTGTCTATCTAGGAAGGAGTACTTCAGAAAGGAATCTAGGGGTCATAGTAGACAACAAGCTAAATGAGTGAATAGTGTGACGTTGTTGCAGAAAAAGCAAACATGATTCTGTGATGCATTAACAGGAGTGTTGTGAGCAAGACACAAGAAGTAATTCTTCCATTCTACTCTGTGCTGATTAGGCCTTGATTGGAGTATTGTGTCCAGTTCTGGGCACCACATTTCAAGAAAGATGTGGAGAAATTGGAGAAGGTCCAGAGAAGAGCAACAAAAATGATTAAAGATCTAGAAAACATGACCTATGAGGGACGACTGAAAGAATTGGGCTTGTTTAGTTTAGAAAAGAGAAGACTGAGAGGGGACATGATAGCGGTTGTCAAGTATCTAAAAGAGTGTCACAAGGAGGAGGGAGACATTGTTCTCCTTGGTTGGCCTCTGAGGATAGGAGAAGAAGAAATGGGCTTAAATGGCAGCAAGTTGAACATTAAGAAAAACATCTTGTCAGGGTAGTTACACATTGGAATAAATTGCCTAGGGAGGTTGTGGAATCTCCATCTCTGGAGATATTTAGGAGCAGGTTAGATAGATGTCTATCTAGATAGTGCTTGGTCCTGCCTTGAGGGCAGGGGACTGGACTCAGTGACCTCTTGAGGACCCTTACAGTTCTAGTATTCTATGATCTATGTGCTGGTAGGAAGGCTCTGATTTTCAAGCACCCTTTCAAAGGGATCTTTAAAAAGCAAGTTAGCAAGGAGAAATACTTATGTAAACCAAATATATCTGCTTCTCTGAATCATAGTGCTGACACATCCCATAAATCTGAGGTAAAAGGAGAGAGAATGATCTTGAGTGTGAATTCAAAAACAGATTTGTGTCTGGTCCAGGAGAGAAATTTTCAGGCCTACCCCAATATAACAGGAGTATGTGGGGAAGCAAGAAAGAGATCTACTACATCACCCTTCTCCATGGACAAACGTGTCAAATTACAAATCGGAAGAATGGGATATTGTGGTCTTCTGACTTTTCCTGTTTGTATTGTTACAAGTTGTACTTTTAATGTTTGGTAAATGCGCTTACATGTTCCCTAATCTAACAAAGTTTATTTTAAATCAAAGTCATTGAATATGTAGCATCTGAATCTGCCACAATACATAGAGAATGGTGCTATCTGATAATGACTGGAGAAGTGAGCGATTAGTTTGCTATGTGCATGAACTGTGCATGCAGCGATCTCTGTTAAAACTTCTTGTTGTTGCCTCCGTACTCTCCTCTCACTCCCCTATTATATCTTGTCTTTTTAGACTGTAAGACCTTGGTCACTTGATTATATGTGTGTCCTAATAAGACAGTTAGGATCTGCAATAATAGGTGGTGGTGATGATTAACGTAGGTGAGGAATACTTTTAGTGGTATTTTTGAGGCACAAGCATCTTATCTTGAGAAATGATTCTTTAGCTGTTCTTATTCTAGGACTCTAAGACTGAGTTGGTATAAAGGGGGAAATTGTCATACTCTTACTAGTAGTACACAGCTTCCCATAGACTGAGGTACTATGTAATTAAATTAAGAGTCTTGGAAAATCTGATAAAATTTGGCAAGCAGTGCAATGAAATTTAGTAAATGGGGCTGACTGTTCACAATTACCTGATTGCTTTTGAAGTTGAATATTAGAGATTTTTTTAAAAACTTCCTAAAACTTGTTGATAGTTTAAAAAGCTTTGTTATATTTTGTAATAAATAAGTGTGTCTTTGGGAACTTAAATTATTTCCTTTATATCTATATATCTAGATAGATAGATAATCTATGGTAGAATTTTTAATGTATACTTGAAAATACAAATTCCCTGAAGATACAGTCCTATTAAAAAGAAAAATTAAGTACTCAAACATTTACATAATTGAATAATTTCAAGGCTCATTTATTTAAATGTGTTATATGTTTGGAAATCTAGAAACAGTTTTCATTAGGTAGTTTGATAGTTCTGGTAGAGCTAAATTAATTTGAAATGCTATGAACTTCTCTCAGAATTTTAGAACTTCTACCAAAGAATTACAGATTTAAAAAAATATATTCAGTGTTGTGCTTTGGATAAAGATTTATCATTGAAAAAAGTTTTATGCTGAAAACGGATATTAAAATCTCACATTTTAGAGTTACAGTAGGCATTATCAGGCAATATTCTAGTACACTATGGTTAGATTGTAAATTTTGCTGGCCCCTCTTTAAAAGGGGAGGTTGTGGTGTGATGTGGTGTCCTTTTTATAACAGATTTCTGAAATGTTCTTATTAAGAGCACTATAATCATAATAGCTTCTCTTGTTGCCCTTTTATAGAATAACTATACAGTCTTTCCATGGTGTACAT